GGATCCGGGCCCCGCCCTCGGGGGCGGAGCCTCCCGGCCCGGACTCCTCCCCCTCTCGCTCTCCTCCCTCTTCCCGGCTCCAGCTCCGCCGCCAGCTCCGGCCTTTGCTCCCCCTCCCAGAGTCCCCTCCCCGGAGCGGAGCGCACCTAGGGTCCCTCTCCCTTCCCCCCAGCCCAGCCTCCCGTTCAGACCAGCAGCCTCGGGGGGCAGCCCCCCGCCAGCCTGCCTCCCTCCCACTCAGCCCTGCCAGGGCCCCCCAGCCATGAATCTCTTCCGATTCCTGGGAGACCTCTCCCACCTCCTCGCCATCATCTTGCTACTGCTCAAAATCTGGAAGTCCCGTTCGTGTGCCGGTGAGAGGCCCACCAGGGCTGGCGAAGGAGAGAGATTGAGGGCGGGGGTTGGGGGCGTCCCAGGACTCAGGCAGGGTTTGGGGGCACTAGGGGCACAGGTTCCACCCCCACTGCTTGCTGGGGATCTCTCTTCTAGGTTCTGGGTCCCCAGGGGATCAGCTGCCTTCCCCAGACTGGCGGGGGTGCATACAGTTTGATGTGAATGGCTTTAGGCCCCCAATTCAGCCACCCCCAGCCCCAGTCTGGGCAGCCCGAGGGTTCACGGACCGGGAACAGGGAACCATGGCAGGCGGGGAGGTGGCTGTGAGTTGGTGACGTGGACCGTGGCGGCCAGGAAGGGAACGGGAGGAAGGTGACCAGATCGGGGGGCTGAGGTCAGGGGAGGTCCTCCCTAGGCCCCACCTCAGGTCCGGACTGAAGGAGGACCCTGAGGGGGTCAGGGGTGGCCATGAGGCCTAGTCTGGGACGGAGCCTCGGGCTGGAGTAGCTTCGGGGGCCTGGGCTGCCCCCTGGCTGTGGGCCGTGGGAAAGGGCCCTGATGAGGCGGGGCCGGCTGGGGAGGCCTCCGGGGACAGCTGCACTCCAGAGCTGCCTCCAGGCTGGTCCCGGGCGCAGTGCCTTAGTTTATTGCCCATGCAGCCCACCCCCAGCCTCCTCTCTCTCTTGCTCGCTCTCTCTCTCTCTCCCTCTCTCTCTTTCCCTCTCTCTGTCTCTCTCTGGACCACAGGAATTTCAGGGAAGAGCCAGGTCCTGTTTGCTGTGGTGTTCACTGCCCGATATCTGGACCTCTTCACCAACTACATCTCACTCTACAACACGTGTATGAAGGTAGAGGCTCCTCCCCACCCCTCTGGCCCCCACTGAAGCACTGGAGCCGGGTGTGGGTCCCAGACTCCTGGGTCTGAGGGAGGAGGGGGCTGGGGGCCTGCACTCCTGGGTCTGAGGGAGGAGGGGCTGGGGACCTG